CACGTGCTTCATGCACTCGGTCAATATTATCATTGATCTCTTCTCACTGTCTCGCGGAGACACACAGCCACAACATAAGTCATTGGGTTGCAACACGGTCTAACTCTTTTTTTTAAAGATATATTTTTAATTTTTATTATAAAGTTAGATATACAGAGAGAAGGAGAGACAGAGAGGAAGATCTTCCATCCGATGATTCATTCCCCAAGCGACTGCAACGGACGATGCTGCGCCAATCTGAAGCCAGGGGCCTGGAGCTTCTTCCAGGTCTCCCACGTGGGTGCAGGGTCCCAAGGCTTTGGGCCGTCCTCGACTGCTTTCCCAGGCCACAAGCAGGGAGCTGGATGGGAAGTGGAGCTGCCAGGATACGAACCAGCGCCCATATGGGATCCTGGCATTTTCAAGGCAAGGGCTTTAGCCACTAGGCCATGGTGCTGGGCCCAACTGTATAACTCTTACCAGTATCCTTACTTTACTCACAAAACAGGATAGCTTATTTCAATAAATTAGATAGATGCAAGATGACACAGGTATGATGTGATGGCCTAGAGAGACCGATTCCTTAATCCTACAAAGAGTAAGGTGGAGATTATCATGTTATCACTCGCATCATTTCCAATGGTTGAAATATTCTACATCAATTATTAATAAATCAGAATATTATTAATCTATATCTGTGTTTGTGTGTCTCCCAGAAATGCATTTGCGTAGAGCGTCCAGGGAGCAGTTGTTTAGCCTACTGCTTAGAACACCTGCAGCCTACATTAGAGCATCGGGTTCGACTCCGAACTCCAGCTTCCTGGCAACACACACCCTGGGAAGCACCACCAGCTGCTGGCTTCATTCCCGGCCAATCCTGACTGCGTTGGCATTTGGCCAATCAGCAGGTGGAGTGCTTTGGTTTTCATAAATATTTAAAACATAATTTAAAAAAATATGGCTGCTTTATTCAGCCTTACAAAAAAAAAAAAAAGAAAGAAAAGAAAAAGATAAAAACTAAGCCTCCCCCTTTCCCTCAGTAAGATAAGCCTGGCCTTGTTTCTATGACAACCGTCATTTGTCAGTGGCTGCCTGGGATCTTGTCCTGTGGGCGTGTCACCTGCCTGCGGAGCGTGTGTCTGTTGTGGACTCCCCGGGGCTGTTCAGGGCGGCTGTCCTTGCACACATATCCCTGTGCACCGAGAAGCATCCAGAGCAGGGATTACACCAGCCAGCGAAAGGCTGTGCACTGGACATGCCCCGGGGCTCGGCAGCCCAGCCTGGGCCACCCACCACAGACGCAGGCAAGAGGGACGGGCTGCAGATGCTTGTCGCGTACAGGACAAAGGCCATCTCCTCTTTCCCAGAGTGGTGATGGCGTGTTCAGGGTCCGTACATGGGACTTGGGCTGGCTGGTCCCTCTAACTGTAGCTTGGCAACTTATTTCCCGAGCCACATCTCCCGTGTCTCTGTTCCCTGTCTGCCTCAGTCTCAGACCCGTTCATTCATTCGTGGGCCGCTTCCTGAGGCCAGAGCCCCAGCAAAGAGCAGGAAGAAGGGACTCTGCTGCCCCATCACCCGTACAGGCCCCAATAACCTTCCCAGGCTCTGACGCAGGTCTCTGCTTGCAGCACAGTTCCTAACCAGTGAGCCACATTCCTCCCTCTTACTGGAGAGTAGGAGGAACTCCATGACAAGCTGGTGAAGCCACCTCCATTTGGGCACCTGTTGTCTTTAACAGAAATTGACTACCAATGCCAACCGGCCTCTTTAAAGTGACTTGAACTTGACCGTGCGGTGTGCCAGTCTTGCAGCTCAGGGGTTTGACTTTGCATCAGCTCCGATCACCACCACAGCGACGTGAGAGACGGACCTTGGCTCTTTGTACAGCTCAGTCTGAGAGGTTCAGGAGTCGCCTGCAAGCAGAACGCACCCTGCCCTTTCACCCACTCCCGCTGTTTTCTTCTTGCTGTTCTTCGAAGCCTGTTTCACCTCACTTTCACTCCAAGGTCCGCATCCTTGCAGCAAAATGGAAAGGCTGCCCTAGGGACCCCCGAGGCCAGCGGGTGAGAAGCTCCACTCCCGCGGAGGACCCCCTCCAAGGCGGGACCGAGAGGGCTGGGGAGCCCCACTGAGGTTGGGAGCAGGTGTCAGCAGCGCCTCCCCTCCCCGGGCGCCCGGCGGGGATCGCTGTCTCAGTTCGCATTTCTAAGGCCGCGCTGGGTTATTTTGGTGGGGAAACCTGATCCTTCGCTGGGTTTATTTTAGCACCTTGGAGAACTCCCAGTGCCGCACCCGATCCGGCCGCGCCCCGCCTGCTGTCGCCCCGCTCGCTCGGTCCTTCCGGGCGGGTGGCGGGGGGACGGTGCGCGCGGGGGCCCGGCAGCTTCCAGGCGGCGGCGCCCGTGTCCTCGCACCGCTCGCATGCGGGCTCCTTGCCCCGGGGGCGGCCGGTGCTGCGGGGACCGGGCGCGGAGGCGAGCTTGGCACTGAGCGGCCTCGACCTTGGGACGCCCGAAGCCGCTGGGTCTAGAAGACTGGGCCAGGTGCGCTAGGGCGCGCTCACCAGGGTTGGGGAAGAGGCTAGGAGCTCAGAACTGAACCTGGGCGGAGCTGGGGGTGTCTTGCTGGAATCTGGGAAGGCACCCCCCATTCCCTGAGAACCCCAGAGGGAAGTGCGGCTCCAGCTGGTTTCTGTGACCCTATCCAGCCTGGGGGCCTCTTATCCATCCAACAGCTTGCTCCGCGCTGACGTGACACATCTGCCCACATAATCTGACAAATGTGCACACACACCTGAGGCATGTGCACATAGACACACAGCTACACATGGGCATGCACTTTCATGTACATGAGACACATGTATGTACACACATCCTGACAAACATCCAAGCACATACACTGGTGTGCACCCACCCACCCCTGACACACCCCACGTACACCGTGCATGCCCGTGCCCGGCACCTGCCTGGCTGGGCAGCCCTGCCTGTCTCCCCAGTGGACAAGCCAAGCCTCCCTATCGGTTCTCCCTCTGTCCCCAACAGCCAGGGGAGGGGACCTGGTCACAGGGTGTCACAAAGGCTGCACCAAGCATTTCCATCTGTACAACTCTCTGCTCTCCCTCTTCTAAAATGCCCTCGTGGCCTTGTGCCAAGCTCACACTCCACAGTGGTGGGCCCTGGGGGGCAGAGCAGGGGGGCAGCAGTGGCCCTGGACACAATTGATCCATCTCCTGGGGGCCTGCAGCATTCACATCTCTCAGAGCCTGGTGGCAGGCTCCGACCCCTGCCTCCCCCTCGCTGGGCAGTCAGCAGGAAGGAGTTCCCTGCAGAGAGGGGTGATGGAGGTCTGAGAGGCCAGGGGCTGTTTCCTTTCAGAAATGGCATGAGGGGATTTGCGGTGTGGGGTGTCCTACTGTGTGGTGTTAACACAGCACGGGAAGGCCAGTGGCACTGGCTCCACTGTCCAAAGTCTGCAGGCTAGGAAATGAACTCCCAAGCAGGTGACATGGAAAAGGACGGGCCCCTTGTAAGCCGGGGGGGGGGGGGGGGTATGGCTATGGCAGGGACCGGGGGGGGGGGGGGGGGGGCTGGGGAACAATGGCTGCCTTCAGTAGCTCACCTCGACTCTATGCGATGGACAGCCAGGCCAGGCTGCTCATTCTCTCAAAAGAGGACCTCCAAGTGGCCAGAACCCTGTGGTGCCCAGCCACCTGCTACCCGCACAGCTGTTCTGCACGGGCTGCTCAGGCCCCTGCGCCTGCCAGAGATCACCTTAGGGGTCAGGCTCCTGGGCTGGCAGTGGGGGATGGGGGCTGCTAGGTTTCCTGATGTCACAAACCCCGGTGGCCTTTGCCCACTCCGGCTGGCAGGGGAGGGGTGGGGCTCCCCGCCAGAACTGCGGTCCAGCCTCAAAGCCTCTTTGAGTCTCTGCACACAGACAGGCGGACCGCGGGGACACAGGCCAAGGTGGGGCAAGTGCTGGGGTCTCCCACTGGGGCTTCCTTCCTGGTAAAAACACTCACCGGCAGGCCTGTCCCGGAGTGGTGGTCGGGAGTCAGGCACAAGTGGGCAACGCTTTAGCAGACACTCACTTAGCTGGGACCCAGCAGGCGCAGCGTGGGCGTCACAGACTCCCACCTCCCCGGTATTTCTTGCTCCTAGTCCCCAAGCCTCTCAGGGCCTCTGTGCAGTCTTTACCCAGGGGCTCTCCTCCGGGTGCGCGCTGAGCCCGGGAAGCCCCTGACCCCGCGGCCCTGCAGGGGTCAAAGGGCACGGGGAGCAGCCCACCCGCGCCCGAGACAGAAACTAAACTACACTTCCCAGAATTCCTGAGGCTCGCCAAAAAGGAAATGTCTTTTTTTTTTTTTTTTTTTTTGCAAGGAGAGGCTCAGCTCCTACAGCAGCTGCAGAGAGGGCGCGAGAGGGGGGAGAGGCAGAAGGAGAGGGACTTCCAGGGGGAGGGTAGGCGGGCTGCGTGCCGGGAGCGAGGGTGGAGAGAGCCTGGCGGGCAGGGAGGAGGCGGCGGCGCCCGTCCACCGCCGCGCCGCCTGCGGACCTGCATCCCCGCGGGGCGTGCGAGCGCACGGTGGTCCCTGCGTGTGCCGGCCGCGGGGGCCCAGGCCGGCGCAGGGACGAGTTTCTGCAAAGTTTGACCTGGTTGTCTTTCCGATGCTGCAGCAGAGCGAGGCAGCGCGGGGCGCGCCAGGCGGCTGCGGCGGCTCGCTCGAAATGATCGTCAAATAAAGGGGACGCGCGGGGTGGGGGCGAGAGAACCCCCCAGCTCGACCCCGACCGCCCCCTGTCCTCCTGCCCCAGCAGCCGTCTTAAGCCGGGAGCCGCAGGCGCCCACGCCGGCGCCAGACGTCCCGGAGCACCCAGAGACCCTGCCCTGGGGACGGGGGGAAAAGCAGGTGGGGGCGCTCCGAGAACGCGCCCGCGGCGGGGCCAGGCCAGGGGCGGCGGCCCGGGCGCGCGGAGCTGCCCGAGGGGGCAGGTGAGTCGGTGGCACCGCCGGGGTAGGGGCCTGCGCGCCAAAGTTGCCCGGTTGCGGCGAGCGCGCCGGACGCGTGGGGATCTTGGCGGCTGGCAAGAGGGAACAGCGCTGCTCTCTCGGTGAGCCGGGGTGCGGTGGGGGAGGCGGGGAGGGATCACCCCGGCCGGGAAGGGGCTCGCGCGCGCCCCCCACCCCAGCTGGCGGGCAGGGTCCCGAGGGGAGGCAGCCACGCGCCCCCGGAGCCGGGCGGGTGTCAGCGGAGATGTCACGGGAGGCGATTATTCGCTGGTGCGCGCGGTCGTGCGGCCGCCACTGACGGGGCGCACTGGGGACGGGGGCGGGGGCGCCACCTCCGGAGAGACCGCCTTAAGCTGTGCCCCGCGCACAGGCGTCGCCGCCCCCCTTGCGCCCCCACAGCAAAGTTCGGCTCAACTTCGAGGCGGGCCTGACGCCCTCTTCCCTCCCACCTCCCCCCAGGTCCTCGGCGGCATAGCCCGTGGCGCCCGCACGGTGGGCCGGCGGCCACAGCGATCGCGGCGAGGGGGCGTCCGGCCCGCGTCCCGAGTGGGCGCCTTCGGGGACCTGCACCCGGCGCGCCACTCGGACGCTTGCTGCTAGCCGTGGGTCGGCGCTCGCTCCGCCCGGGGCGTCCGGAGCTCGGCGGCGGCCGATCGAACAGAAACTTCTCCGGGCTTGATTGGGCCCCCGCTGGACCCGGTGCCCGAGGGAGGCGTGCGGAAGGCCAAGAGGGGCAGGAAGTCGGCGTGCTGCGGCGGCGAGGAGGGCGCGGAGCAGGAGCCTTCCTTATTCCTGCCTCTAGTTCCTGCGAAGGCTTGCTTGCGGCACACTCCCGCAGCTGCCCCCGCCGCGCGCGAACCCCGGAAGGGAGGCCTGGGGACCAGGGTAACAGGATCATCTGCTAAAGCTCCCGACTCTGCCCCCCTCCTTTTTTTTTTTTTTCCCCAAACCTCAAGAGTATCGGTGACTTTTGGGGCGAGCGCCCCGCGGCAGGCATGCAAAGGCCCTGGGTTTGGTGAAGCTTCTCTCCTATAGCTGTCAGCCTTGAACTTTGCAACTGACAAACCGCTGCGGCCTTCCATGTTCCCGACCTCCTCTGGACCTGCTGGTCTTCTCTGGATTGGAGTGGTCCTGTGTGCCATGGGCTGTATTCAGAGCATCGGCGGCAAAGCCAGAGTTTTCCGCGAAGGGATAACGGTCATTGACGTCAAGGCCTCCATCGACCCCATCCCCACCATCATCGACGAGTCCTCCAGCGTGGTGCTGCGCTACCGCACGCCACACTTCCGGGCCTCAGCGCAGGTGGTCATGCCGCCCATCGCCAAGAAGGAGACGTGGACGGTGGGCTGGATCCAGGCGTGCAGCCACATGGAGTTCTACAACCAGTATGGCGATCTGGGCAAGTGAGTACTACCACGTGCGGGAGGGACGGAGTCCCCTGGGCAGGTGTGGAGGGGGGATGTTGCCGTGCTCCCTGGTAAGCAGACGGACAGGTCCTCCGTCTTTGGCCAGGGCCAGCGGGGTCGCTGCAGGGGCCACAGCTCTGGGTCTTCAGGCCTAGGCTCTTTGGACACACGTGGCAGCCACCATGGGGAGGGGGGTTGTTTGTGCAGGACCCTAGGGAGCAGCTGTGTTGTTGGGAAAGCAGGGTCACCTTCACTCCCCATCTACCAGGAACCCCCACCCCCAAGATGGGGAGTTGGCCTAAGGAGTGGAAGACCCTCCGTTCTGAGGGAGCCACAGTCCCCCGCTCCAGCTCTGGCTCCGCCCTCACTGGCTTCACTTCCCCGTTATGCGGAGGAGGAAGAGGGGAGAGCCTCCCTGGAGTTGCAAGTGGTGAACATCCTGGGCCACGTGTGCCAGAGGGAGGCAGAGGTAGCTGCTGGCGGCTCGGTCCAGTTCGGAGGGGTCCAGGAGCACACGGGGCAGGCCACATGGCCAGCAGCGCCCTGCTGACCCCTCTGTCCCTTCCCCTGCACCACAGCAGCTTGGGATCTAGCTCAGGGGCAGAGTGAGGGAGAGGCGTGTGCCTTGTCCCCTCCCCCAGCCTGCCACAAGACACTAGGACAGCTGTCCAGAGCCCAGTTTTCTGAAGGGTTTTATGCAAAGCCTCATCCCTTTCCTATAAGGGCAGCCAGAGGCTGCTCCTGAATTTGGAACAGCACGTGTGCTGGGAGGGACGGGTGGTCCCGGTGGTCCCTCTGAGCTCAGATGTCCAGGTGCCAAAGCCTGGTTTCTGTTCGGGGCTGGGACCTGAGGTGACCTCGCTGTCACCGTGCCAGCTCCCGGTTCCTGGTGAGAGGGGCTGTAGTCGGCGGTCAGGCAGGGCCTGGGTGGGAGGCCAGCCCTGCCGCTCTCCAGCGTGTGACCCTGCAGAGGTTCCTGCGCTGCTGGGAGCCTCGATTTGCTCATCTGGAAACCAGGACCAACCCAAGTTTCCATGGCTCCCTGGGAGAAGTGAGAGGACACCTGTCCGACCACTGGCGCCACGCTGGGTTCACAGCCAGGATGTCGTCCTGGATGTTGTTTGGGGGGAGGGAGTTGTGGCAGTTGGCTGTGATGATGGCTTTGGACAGATGTCAGTCACTTTTTGTCCTGAATTCTCGCCCTAGCCCACACCTGGTATTTGACTCAGGACTCCATTATAAACATTTGGGAACAAGTGGAGTTTCAGAGTGGCTGAAGGTTGTTTGCCTGTCCTGCTCTGCCTGGACCCTCCCCTTTTCTAATCTGCGTCTCTCATGACATCCTGCTGGGTGCATGGGGTCACGACTCCTGTGGGGCCAGGTCAGTAGGCAAGCTCTCAAAAGACGACCCTAGGAACAGAAGAACAGAATAGCCACCTGCCCTGGCGCCTGACCCTCGGGCCAACCCGGCAGCTTTACCACTTGGGAGTGGAAAAGTCAGGAGAGAAGCCCCCGAGGGCCGGTGGGCGAGTGGGCAGGTGCAGGGGACGGTGCCGAGGCTGCGAGTGGCTCCCGTGTGCCCACCCGTCGTCAGGGGAATGAGTAGCGCGGTCCTGCAGTCCGCAGGCTGGGCTGGCAGCTTGTGTCCTGGAGACGAGAAGGGGTCATTTGGAGAAGCTTGGCTGCAGCTATGTGAAGTCAGTGGAGGCGTTTCGAAGCTGCCATCCCTGAGCCCCACACTGGTGGGAGAGCGAGCCGAGAGCTTAGAAGGGCGGATGGCGGGGACAGGTCAACCTGAAGCCTCCACCAGCCCAACTTGGTGCCTTGGCTTTTGGCCAGGCGCAGATGCCGGGTGGCACTTCTGGACTCTGCTCGCTCCGTCCCTGCGCATTCCCAAACCATGTGACTGCTTTGAATGAGACCCTGGCTCTGGGCATGAGTGGTGGGAGTGGGGGACAGCCAGGTGACCCGGGCAAGGGCGCTTCCTTCTCTCCTCTGTAAATGGGCTTATCTTCCGAAGCTTAATACCAAATGCTTAACTGCAATCCCTAATGCCCCAGAGTTCGCCTGGCTCGAATTAATCTCTGAGCTATGGAGGAGATTCTGTGTGTATCCCACTAGGGGATTGGATGGTTAGCAGCACGCGCCCCACTCTGTCGTACCCCGATTTGTGCGGAGTGGGCTGGGAAACTCAGAGCTGCTCCCTGCACCACCGTGAGGCCCCTGCATGGTTTGGGTCCAGCCTGCAGTTGCACACCCCCTAACTTCCTCTCCAGGCACTGTAGCAGACACCTGCCTGCAAAGCCTGCCCCCGCAATTCCTCAACCACCACCTGTCAGCTGCCGCAGAGTCTCCTCCATGACAAGTCAGTGCCTCGCCTGTGTGGGGGACACTTCTCTTTGTCCCCTACGTGCCCTTCTCTGGAGGCCCCCAGGAAGCCTGGCCCGTGGCCAAGGTCAGCAGCAAGGCTGAGGGCTGCCATGCTACCCAAAGGAGGGGACAAGCGGAGCAGCAGCCTCCTGGCTTGACAAGGAGGCCACCTTCCCACTGTGCCCGGGTCCAGCCAGGTCTTAGGCTGTCCGCGCCTCACGCTTCCCGTCCGTGGATTGGGAACCTGCACACTGGCCTGCTGGGCTGGCTGTGAGCTAATGTGAGCGGATGTGGGATGAATGTCCGGTGTGCTCCGAGCACTCCATGAGGGTGATCGGCAAGTGCTGGGTGATCCCAAATCCCAGGGGCTCAAAAGTGATTACTCCTGGCTCTGCACCGCCCGGCCAGCTGAAAGATGGCTGGGTTGCTATCACCACGGGATGCTCCCCTCTCTCCCTCGTCCGTGAAGGGCAGAGCCGGGGACTCCTCTGAAGGTGCTTCTGGGGCACCCCCATGCTAACCTCTGTCAGCACAGGCTTAGGAGAGGCTGCACCTCCCGGCTGTGGCTGCCTGGGCTCTCTCGCTGCCCCAGCCCCAGTTTTAGGACGTGATGAGAACCCTGTGCTGCTTGCCGGAGGTGGCCTGCTGAGTGAGCGTGGCACATGTGGGGGACGGGCCCTGAAGGAATGTCCCCAGGACCACGTGGCCACTTCCTGAAGCTGGGGTCTGAGTTCTGGGCCCCATGGAGAACAATTGAAGACGAGGCTTCCTCTCTCTGAGCTGACCGGAAGGCGGCTTCCCCGCTCTGGGTGGAGGCCAGGGTGGGGTGGGTGGGAGAGGGAACTCCTTGCTTCAAGGCTTTGGGGGATGGGGAAGAGGGGAGGCAGGAGGTTGCCTGCCCCTCCCCATTGACCCCTGCTCCCATTGACCCCTCCCCCATGACCCTTCTGGCTAGTCACTCACTCCAGCCCCTGTCATTGGAAACCAAAGCTGGCATTCCCCAGAGAGGGGACCCTGAGGCCCCCTGCCGGGTAGCCGTGCCTGTGCCATCAGGGAACTGCTGGGCTCTATCTTGAGCCCTTCTTTGCTGGTGGCATCTGGTGACTGTGCCAAAGATGGTTTGAGGGATGCACTGGTCCCAGTGTCCCAGGGAGGGGCACGGTCTCCCTGTTGACAATGGAGTGGACTGAGGCTCTCGGTGTAGGGGTCGGGAGGGTAGTGGGCCTGGTTCTCCCATTCTGGCTTCAAAGATTTGTGCCCGCAACCCAGGGCCTGGCCTGATGGGGTGCCCAGAAGCAAATCTACCGGACAGTTGGCCTGCTGCACGGAGAGGGCCAGAGGCTGGGACAACTTCAGGGTTTGGGAAGAGGGGGAACCGCCAAGCACGGCGCACAGTGGGGTGAGGCCGCCACAGACAAATGACGGGATATTCAGCAAGTGAGCGACTGTTGGTGCCTGAAAAAGAGAAGAAAAAAAAAGGCTGTCTGGGATGGGAACCCACTTTGGTGCAAAGGAAAATGCTGAGGACAAGCACACATCCGGTGTGTGTCTGCAAGGATGTTTATGGAGTCACGTGGCAGGGAGTGCCAGGTGGCCGCGCTTGGTGGCACGTGGATGGAGCATGCGCTGTGCCTCGCAGTACAGACCCAGAGCTGAGGCCTGGGGCCCCAGGAGTGCCTGGGCAGGAAGAAGGTTGGGGGCAGGCCGGAAGGAGCAAGTTCCCAAGGGGCTCCCCTCCCCCATCTCCCCACTGGGGGCTGGGGTACAGATGCCGGGGATGGTCAGGCGCAGGCTGAGGGCAGCCTGGAGGTGGCAGCCCAGGGCAGTGAGACCCAGGTCACTGTGGAAGTGTGTAGGGACCTGAGCTTCTGTGAGCTTGGGAGACTTCCAGAAAACATGCTCCATGGACAAATTTGTATCAAATTGTAAAATCGATGCCGATGGGGACCCCAGTGAGGTGGTCCTTGAGTTCCAGGCTGAGCCTCAAGGGGGTGGGAGCCTGGGTTGTTCCCGGGCAGAGCCCCTGTCTTTGGCCACCAGGCCTTACCTGGGCAGGTCTGTCTGCCTGCCTGCCTTCCAGCCAGGAGCTTCTTCCAGGTCTCCCATGTGGGTGCAGGGGCCTGAGGACTTGGGCCGTCCTTTGCTGCTTTCCCTGCCCAGGAGTAGAGGGCTGGATGGGAAGTGGAGCAGCCGGGACACACAAATCAGTGTCCATTTGGGATGCTGGTGCCTGCTATGCCGTGGCACCAGCCCTGGGAGAAATCATTTAAAATTAAGGCCATATTTATATTAGAGTTGGGACGTGGAGCCACTGGGATTAGAACCAGTGCCCATATGGGATGCCAACATGTGCAAGGTGAGGACTTTAGCCACTAGGCTACTGCAGTGGGTCCAAAGCTAAGTTATATGTCAAAGCAACACATTTAATGCATCTTAACAAATGTATCTCTATGTGTTCAGTGTTTTATGACAAAGCTATTTTTTAGCGGGGACTCAATCAGATTGCATTTCAAATACCAATATGATTGATTGGAAAGGAACACGTGAAATGACTAAGACTTGAGGGGATGACTAGACGGGACCGGCGTGAAGAATTAGAAGTAGTGTCTGGTGACCTTCACCTTCAGACAGGGTGGTGGCCTGGAACTTCCCGGCTCTGAGAGGTCACGGCTGCCACCCCGTGGCCTGGGCGTCTGTGGCCTAGACTGCACACAGCCTGTGGCAGTGCTGGGGAGAAGGCCAGCCCCGCACGCCTGGCAGGAGGAGGGCTCAGTGGTGCAGTGGCGCACAGCAGAGCCAGCTGCCAGACCCGGAGGAGTGGAGAAGAGGGGGTGCTCCTGGCAGCTGACCCTGAGGTTGCAGAGGTGGCTGGCCCATCTGCTTGGGGCTGTGCCAACCCCTGGCGGGCTGACGACTGGGCCTGGAGCCCTGTGCTGAGCCAGCTCCACACGGAGGCCCAGAGCAGCCCACGTGCCCCAGACACGTGGGGACCCCATGAGGCCAGGGCCTGCAGCGGGGTGCCAGCACAGGTTACTGCAAGGGCCTGATTGGCCAGGGTGCCTGCCCTGCTCCAGTGCTGCTGCCTGGGGTAGTGATAGCAAGCCAGCCATGGCTCTGGCCCTCTCAGCTCTGGTGGGCTCCCTTGGGGGGAGGAGACTGCCCACAGATGGTGGCAGAATGACTGTCACCTGCTCAGGTGTCTGGAGCTGGGGGTGCAGCGTCAGGGGCCCCGGCCAGGGTGGAGCTCCTAGACGCAGCAGCACGGGGAGCTGGTGCCACGCTGAGATTCTGTGTCTGAACAGTGTTCTTGGGTCTGAGATGTGCGTGAGCTCTGCTAGTGCGTCACCAGCCTTATCTTGCGGGGTGGCGGAGGCCAGTGCAAGGGATCTGCCTCATTGGGAGTTCAAGGTCGTCTCGGAGTGAGATGTGACGGAGGGAGCGGGAAATGGGCAAACATGGCTGAGGCTGGAAAAGTCTGCAATCCTGGTAGTCGTCAGGGGACACCTCTACCTGCTCACCCCTTCTTCAGGGGTTTCCAGAAGTTTCCATGTATTGTTACCAACCATGCGTTTATAGAAACGTGGCTGCCTGTGGAGGCCAGATGAGGGAGTTGGCGGCTCAGAGAACTTGTGGCGTGAGCCCGGAGCTGGTGGCCGGGGCTGAGTGTGGACCCCAGATGTCTCCCTGTTCCTCAGAGCAGGATCCTTGACCACTGTCCCTCCTGTGTCCCCAGCCATGGGGAGACCCACGCTGGCCTGGTGAAAGTGCAGTCTGGCCCTGGTTCTGAGTAATGAGAGGCTGCTGGCTGCCAGCTCGTGGGGTTGTCACCTGTCTGTCTGGGCCAGGGCTTGGGCATTCAGGGGTTAGGGTCTTGCTCCATCCCCGCTGTCCTCAGGGCTTTGGGATGGTGTACAGAGGCCAAGGCCAGAGTGGAGTGTCATCTGCTTTCTGCCTGAGGGGAGGGGGAAGTTTCCAAGCCAGAGTGGACTCTGGCGAGAACGGAAGTGGCTCCTTGCAGGCACACAGGTGACACTTGCTCTGTGCCTCAGCTGTTTCATGGTACAGGTGGGCACGCCCACCTTGCTGGGTGGCCATCACCCCCACCCCACCCTGCCCCCTGCCTGCCTCTGACACTCTGTCATTGCCCCGAATGCAGACTCAGTAAATGAGTTTCCTGTGTTCCCCCAGGCCCGGGCAGGTGCCCATGGCATCGTCTGCTGTGTCTATGGCTGGCATGTTCCGGCTGGCACCATGTCCTTGGAGTGTCTGTCCCCTTCAGAGCTAAACCACACCTCATGGATGCCAGGAGGGTGCAGGGGTGGGGTGGGGAAGGGACGGGCAGGAAGGGTGGTATCTGAGGTAGCCCCACAAAGTGTGTAGGGGCCAAGAGTGGGGCTCTGCAGACACCTGCCGGGGTGTGCTGGGAACAGGCTGGAGCAAGCCAGACCGCTCCCTGCCCCTCCCTGCACCAGTGGTCTTTGCAGTAACCACAGGGATAAATGGGACGAGTTTGGGGTCCAGGTAATGGAGGTGGAAGCTTGCCCAGAAGGGCTCCCACGCTGAATTCTCTACCACTTGACCACCCATTACACCCTAAAATCAAGCCTCCCCCCTAACTCCCTCGCCCCTGCAGCTGGGCCCCCGACAGTGCAGGAATCCAGACCTGGCATGGTGTGGAGTCTTGGGACAGGGAGGGGCAAGGCTGGCTTGGGATGGAGCTGGGGCAGGGCCTTAGCTCATCTCTCTCCCTTCTGTCTCCTCTGTGAGGGCTCCCACGGGGAAGCCCCAGAGATAGGGGACTGGGTGTGCCTGAGTGCCCTCCGGCGGGGGGTGGACACCAAGTGACCATACGTGTGACCTGTGGCCTCCTACTCCAGGTCCAGCTGGGAACTGCCTGACCTCCAGGCGGGCAAGATTGAGGCCATCAGCGACTCGGACGGGGTCAATTACCCCTGGTACGGCAACACCACCGAGACGTGTACCATCGTGGGCCCTACCAAGAGAGACTCCAAGTTCATCGTCAGCATGAACGACAACTTCTACCCCAGCGTCACGTGGGCCGTGCCCGTGAATGAGAGTAACGTGCCCAAACTGACCAACATCTACCGGGACCAGAGCTTCACCACGTGGCTGGTGGCCACCAACACCTCTACCAACGACATGATCATCCTGCAGACTCTGCATTGGCGCATGAAGCTCGTCATTGACGTGAACCCAAACAGGCCCCTGGGCCAGCGCGCCCGCCTGCGGGAGCCCATCGACCAGGTCCAGCCCAAGATCCTGAGCAAAAATGAGCCCATCCCACCCAGCGCCCTGGTGAAGCCCAACGCCAACGATGCTCAGGTCCTCATGTGGCGGCCCAAAGACAAGCCGCCGTCAGTGGTCATCCCCGCCAAGCACTGGTAGCGGCAGGTGCAGAACGGGGGCGGGGGGACGCAAATAATAATAGTGCTCAGAGCAAGCCCACGTGCTCTGTGCTCATTCACCGCTCTGCAGCGGCAGCGGGCAGGGCAGGCGGGCAGGCGGAGCGCGCTGTGCAGCGCCCGCCAGTGGGAGGGACCCCCACCCCATCCCACCCCACGGGACGTGCGCCCTTCCAGGTCACCCCATTCCCCTCTGCCCTCTCCCTCTCCTCTCTTAATCTCAGCCGTTCACTTCGCAACTTTTTTTCTTTTTAAATTTCTCAAGTTTCAGGGGGCGGGGCATGCTTTAGCCGGGAGTGGCGGCGGCTAGCCTTCTCCGTTCTCGCCTCTGACATGCGGCCTTACGTACCTAGACTTGCTTTGCCAAACTTTTGCCTTAAGCTGAACTGAGAAGAGCACAGCCTGGGTTGGGGTGCTAAGGGCTGTGGGGGCAGAAAGCCGGGTCTGTCTCCTCCTGGGCTTTCTTCTGGGCCGAGGGGCTTCTTCCAGGGTCTCCTGGGAGAAGGGCAAGGGAGACCCCAAACCAGCTGTTCCTTCTTTGGTTTCTGCACCCTCTGTCTGGGCACCTCTTCTGCCTGCTCCCAGGCGGGGGCCCCTGCCAGGTACTTGTCGGAAGGCGGCTTGCTGGGGCGGGGGTGGGGATGCACCCTTGTAGCCTTAACTTGCCTTTGGTGGTTCTGGAGGGTGGGAGATTGTGGGGTGGGGTCCAGGAGCTATGAGGTTCCGGGAAGAATTTCTGGGTGCTTCCCTTCTTCCTTCCTGCCCCAGCTTGGGTTCCAGCAGGGCTTCCCCCCCTCCTTTTCAGGGGTGCCGCCCCCAGGCAAGGAGAAAGCTGCGGAAGGCCCCCAAGGGCTTGCCGGGGGGATGTGGCAGGGTACGGTCCAGGGCTGCAGGGGTCTTCCGAACCACAGTTGGGGGTCCTGGGCTGGCACAGCAAGGGCAGGGAAGTCTCAGGGTGGGCCTTCTGGTGCCCAGGGACCTAGTCCTGAGCCAGCAGGGTGTATGCCTGCAGGCTGCCACACGGCATGCTTGGGTGACACCTGCTAGAAGTCCCATTCTGTCAGCTTGCCAAACCCGCTCAGCCCCAGCCCCGGGTCCCACATCCACATGCAGCATAACCAAGCACAGAGCACTCATCTCTTCCTGCTTCAGACGAGCCGTTTGTGGGAGGCACGTGGTGGGTGGCCACATGCCAGGGTATTAATTCCAGGGGTGCTTGACTTCCAGGCAGTCAGGGAGTCCTTGGGCCACACCAGGGGTTGCAGTTGGCCTGGCTCGCACAGGCCTGGAACTGATGGCAGGTGCAATGCTAGGTGGCCCTGGTTGGGGTGGGCTGCCCTCTTGGTTTGCATCAAAGGGGTACCTGCCAAGGGACCCCACCTCCCATCCAAGAGAGAACTCAGCCTCATCCTGGAGGGGGCCTCTCTCTACACTCAGGTCTTTCTCGTGCTGAGGAGGAGACCGGCTTGGCTGGCAGGGTGTGCAGGGGCCCAGCGCTGCTCTGTGGTGGGTTCTGAGTGGGAACCCTGGGGGGAGCAGAGGCGACAGCCCCTCCCTTGCATGCCCAGCCCCCTCCAGTCTTGCTCTCAGATTCACCTTCCCCGCCCCATGGACCTCCATCCCAGGTCCTTTCTGTCCACTCTTCTCGCCTCACTGAAGATCAGGACTGGGGTGGCTGCCAGGCCTGAAGCTTGTCCCTTGGCCTGAGGTTTCCTGCCCCAGGGTCCCAGGATCCCCAGGGTCCCCAGCTCAGACACTCACCCTCTTCCTTCAGCAATAAGAGCCATCTTCTGTTGCGCGGAGTACTGTGATGTTAAAGCAATGCACTTGCCGCCAGGCACGCACTCTAGGAGCCGATGTCAAATGAACCTGTTTTGTGTGTGTGTGCGTGTGTGTGTTTTTCTAAAAATCACAATTATAAAGAGAAATAAAATGTAATTTTAAAGTAGACTTGGCAAGAGACTGGATGCTATTGGGGGACGGGGTTTCACTTTGGGGTGAGCGCACTGTGCCATGGGGGTGTTGGGGGATCTGAGGCTGAATCTGGGTGGATGCGAAGGCCTGGAGAGAGGGAAAGCCAGAGCCAGTTCAGGGGTCCTGGTCCCTGGGCCCCATGTGTGGAGCAGGGGGTATGCCAGGAGGTAGAGCTGGCACTTGGGGGCAAACATCTGGGCCCCCATGTCCAGGTGATGGGCATTTCGGTTTAGGTTGGGCCTCAGATCCCCCAAGGCCTGACTGTGGCCACGGGGCCAGCACAAAGTTGGTGGGGATTGCAGTGCTGGGCCTGTGCTGGCCAGTGGCTGATGGGGGTTGGGAAGGGGTGAACCTAGCCAGGAATTTTCTTCTGGTGGGAACTTGCTCTCACATGGTGGTGGGAGCCTCAGGTCCTGCAGTGGCTCTGGGCTCCAAAGCTGGACCCTCAGGTTCAAAATCATTCAAGGACAGTGTGTGCAGAACAAGGGTTCTCGGAGTAGCTGCTTGCTGGCTATTATGATATGAGCAAGTTGTCATTGCACTCAACCTCCCCACAGCACCTCTGGGCATGCTGGGAAGGCAAACAACCCGAGGTGATTTCAAGGGCTGATGTTGGGTTAAGCTACCCCCTGCCACACAAGCATCTGTCCACAGAACCAGTGCTGGCTGTTCTGCTTCTGGCCTAGCTTCCGGCTAATGTGCCTGAGAAAGTAGGCAAAGATGGCTCCTGTGAGAGACCCTGACGCAATTCCTGGTTCCTGGCTTCAGCTTGGCACAGCCCTGGCCATTGTAGCCATTTGAAAGTGAACCACCAAATGAAAGCTTGCTCTCTCTCTCTCTCCCTTCCTTCTCAGCACTGCTCTCAATCAGAGCGCAGCACAGTGGAACACACAGTGAACACCCAGTAGTTACTGGTTATTACTCATAAGACAACCCTGTGCTTCTGGTCCTCCCTCGTTTGGGCTCCCATGGCAGGATGTAGGACACAGTGATGGGTCCACAATGCAGTGGCCCCAAGCCTGCATCCTGCCTCCTGGCTGGGAGATGTTCCAGAGGGAATTGCTTCACGGCGGGAGCTGCCTGCTCTCCTCCCACATGGCATCTGGGTGCTGCGACTCACTGTTGTGGTTGAGGCTTTGGTGTTAGTTTCAGGACACAGACCACAGCAACTACAGAGTGAGTATACACAAAATATAGGCATGTGTGTGCAGAAGGAGAATGTGCACAGGAGGAGAATGTGTGAGTGAGCAGAGAGGACAGTGTGTGAGTGAGCACAGAGGACAGTGTGAGTGTGCACAGAGGACAGTGTGTGAGTGTGCACAGAGGACAGTGTGAGTGAGCACAGAGGACAGTGTGAGTGTGCACAGAGGACAGTGTGTGAGTGTGCACAGAGGACAGTGTGAGTGTGCACAGAGGACAGTGTGTGAGTGAGCACAGAGGACAGTGTGAGTGAGCACAGAGGACAGTGTGTGAGTGAGCACAGAGGACAGTGTGTGAGTGAGCACAGAGGACAGTGTGAGTGTGCACAGAGGACAGTGTGAGTGTGCACAGAGGCCAGTGTGAGTGAGCACAGAGGACAGTGTGAGTGAGCACAGAGGACAGTGTGAGTGAGCACAGAGGACAGTGTGAGTGTGCACAGAGGACAGTGTGTGAGTGAGCACAGAGGACAGTGTGTGAGTGAGCACAGAGGACAGTGTGAGTGAGCACAGAGGACAGTGTGAGTGAGCACAGAGGACAGTGTGTGAGTGAGCACAGAGGACAGTGAGTGAGTGTGCACAGAGGACAGTGTGTGAGTGAGCACAGAGGACAGTGTGAGTGTGCACAGAGGACAGAGTGAGTGAGCACAGAGGACAGTGTGAGTGAGCACAGAGGACAGTGTGAGTGAGCACAGAGCACAGTGTGAGTGTGCACAGAGGACAGTGTGAGTGAGCACAGAGGACAGAGTGTGTGAGTGAGCACAGAGGACAGTGTGAGTGAGCACAGAGGACATTGTGAGTGTGCACAGAGGACAGAGTGAGTGTGCACAGAGGACAGTGTGAGTGTGCACAGAGGACAGTGTGTGAGTGTGCAGAGAGGACAGTGTGAGTGTGCACAGAGGACAGTGTGTGAGTGTGCACAGAGGACAGTGTGTGAGTGAGCACAGAGGACAGTGTGTGAGTGAGCACAGAGGACAGTGTGAGTGTGCACAGAGGCCAGTGTGAGTGTGCACAGAGGACAGTGTGTGAGTGTGCACAGAGGACAGTGTGTGAGTGAGCACAGAGGACAGTGTGTGAGTGAGCACAGAGGACAGTGTGAGTGTGCACAGAGGACAGTGTGAGTGAGCACAGAGGACAGTGTGTGAGTGAGCACAGAGGACAGTGTGTGAGTGAGGACAGAGGACAGTGTGAGTGAGCACAGAGGACAGTGTGTGAGTGAGCACAGAGGACAGTGTGAGTGAGCACAGAGGACAGTGTGAGTGTGCACAGAGGACAGTGTGTGAGTGTGCACAGAGGACAGTGTGAGTGAGCACAGAGGACAGTGTGAGTGAGCACAGAGGACAGAGTGAGTGTGCACAGAGGACAGTGTGAGTGAGCACAGAGGACAGTGTGAGTGAGCACAGAGGACAGTGTGAGTGTGCACAGAGGACAGTGTGAGTGAGCACAGAGGACAGTGTGTGAGTGAGCACAGAGGACAGTGTGTGAGTGAGCACAGAGGACAGTGTGAGTGAGCACAGAGGCCAGTGTGAGTGAGCACAGAGGACAGTGAGTGAGTGTGCACAAAGGACAGTGTGTGAGTGAGCACAGAGGACAGTGTGTGAGTGAGCACAGAGGACAGTGTGTGAGTGAGCACAGAGGACAGTGTGAGTGAGCACAGAGGACAGTGTGAGTGAGCACAGAGGACAGTGTGAGTGAGCACAGAGGACAGTGTGAGTGAGCACAGAGGACAGTGTGTGAGTGAGCACAAGGACAGTGTGTGAGTGAGCACAGAGGACAGTGTGAGTGTGCACAGAGGACAGTGTGAGTGAGCACAGAGGACAGTGTGTGAGTGTGCACAGAGGACAGTGTGTGAGTGAGCACAGAGGACAGTGTGAGTGAGCACAGAGGACAGTGTGAGTGAGCACAGAGGACAGTGTGTGAGTGTGCAGAGAGGACAGTGTGAGTGAGCACAGAGGACAGTGTGTGAGTGTGCACAGAGGACAGTGTGTGAGTGAGCACAGAGGACAGTGTGAGTGAGCACAGAGGACAGTGTGAGTGAGCACAGAGGACAGTGTGTGAGTGTGCAGAGAGGACAGTGTGAGTGAGCACAGAGGACAGTGTGTGAGTGTGCACAGAGGACAGTGTGTGAGTGAGCACAGAGGACAGTGTGAGTGAGCACAGAGGACAGTGTGAGTGAGCACAGAGGACAGTGTGTGAGTGTGCAGAGAGGACAGTGTGAGTGAGCACAGAGGACAGTGTGTGAGTGAGGACAGAGGACAGAGTGAGTGTGCACAGAGGACAGTGTGTGAGTGAGCACAGAGGACAGTGTGAGTGAGCACAGAGACAGTGTGAGTGAGCACAGAGGACAGTGTGTGAGTGAGGACAGAGGACAGTGTGTGAGTGAGGACAGAGGACAGTGTGAGTGAGCACAGAGGACAGTGTGAGTGTGCACAGAGGACAGTGTGTGAGTGTGCACAGAGGACAGTGTGTGAGTGTGCAGAGAGGACAGTGTGTGAGTGTGCAGAGAGGACAGTGTGAGTGAGCACAGAGGACAGTGTGTGAGTGAGCACAGAGGACAGTGTGTGAGTGAGGACAGAGGACAGTGTGAGTGAGCACAGAGGACAGTGTGTGAGTGAGGACAGAGGACAGTGTGTGAGTGAGCACAGAGGACAGTGTGAGTGAGCACAGAGGACAGTGTGTGAGTGAGGACAGAGGACAGAGTGAGTGAGCACAGAGGACAGTGTGTGAGTGTGCACAGAGGACAGTGTGTGAGTGAGCACAGAGGACAGTGTGTGAGTGAGGACAGAGGACAGTGTGAGTGAGCACAGAGGACAGTGTGTGAGTGAGCACAGAGGACAGAGTGTGAGTGAGCACAGAGGACAGTGTGAGTGAGCACAGAGGACAGAGTGTGAGTGAGCAGAGAGGACAGTGTGTGAGTGAGCACAGAGGACAGTGTGTGAGTGTGCACAGAGGACAGTGTGTGAGTGTGCACAGAGGACAGTGTGAGTGAGCACAGAGGACAGTGTGAGTGTGCACAGGAGGAGAATGTTGAGTGAGCACAGAGGACAGTGTGAGTGAGCACAGAGGACAGTGTGTGAGTGTGCACAGAGGACAGTGTGTGAGTGAGCACAGAGGACAGTGTGAGTGAGCACAGAGGACAGTGTGAGTGAGCACAGAGGACAGTGTGAGTGTGCACAGAGGACAGAGTGAGTGAGCACAGAGGACAGTGTGAGTGAGCACAGAGGACAGAGTGAGTGAGCACAGAGGACATTGTGAGTGTGCACAGAGAACAGTGTGAGTGAGCACAGAGGACATTGTGAGTGTGCACAGAGGACAGTGTGAGTGAGCACAGAGGACAGTGTGAGTGAGCACAGAGGACAGTGTGAGTGTGCACAACGACAGTGTGTGAGTGAGCACAGAGGACAGTGTGAGTGAGCACAGAGGACAGTGTGAGTGAGCACAGAGGACAGTGTGAGTGTGCACAAGGACAGTGTGTGAGTGAGCACAGAGGACAGAGTGAGTGAGCACAGAGGACAGTGTGAGTGAGCACAGAGGACAGTGTGTGAG